TTTTTTTTACATTTATTTGTGTCAAATACTTAAATATACAGTCAGTTTGTCAGTTCTAAAATATTAGTCTAATATTAATACCAAAAATGTGACCTCATGTCAGAGCTTTGCTTAGAAACAGTGGAGGCGTTGCTTTTCTTTGGGATGTGAAGCTTTTCCAGCAACATTATCTGTATATAAATGTATACGAATGCTTTTCAGTTATCCAGGCAATAAAGTTCTGAAGCTAGAAGTTTTTCCAAAAATATTAGAAATACATACATGTGATCCTCAGTTAGATGCAGCTTTTTTGTGGGTTTTAAGACTTTTATTACAAAATCAAAAGATCCTGTACATTAAGCATAGTATAATTATCATTCTTCTATATAACGCTATTCAGTAAGATTTAAAATTATTACTCTTATTGATACAGATCTAAATAAATATCATAAATATGTGTAAGACTGAGCCAAACTGGCCCTGCTGATAGTTATATTCACAGAATACAGTCTGCAGAGCATCTCAAGGGGGAGCCAGTCAGCTCTTGGTTTGGGTGCGTGCAAGGGATGGAGTGCGGCAAGTATTTCAAGAAAGTAAATAACACTTTCAGCTCTTTCAAGTTGCATGATCCATAAATGTTTTCAGTTTCCCCTGTTGTTGTGAAGTGATAGAAACAGTACGTCTCCAGAGTGAAGTTTGAAGTTCAAGATGTTACTGCCTCACTTCCTGATAGATGAGTCCACATGGACTGAGCGTCCCACCACACCTCCAGTGTGGGCTCTGGAGAAATGTGGAGTTTCCAGACTGGTTAACGGAGGTTACTATCAGAGCATGTCATGCCAAGGGAATGGAGACAGTGCCATTTGCGCGACTGCGGCTTCGAGTGTGGGTGCTGGAGTCTGTGAGCTCCTCGCCGTGGTCCTCTGACTTTTTGTCCGCAATGGTGGCCAGGAAACGCAGAGTGACTGAGTCCCATTCCTCTGGTAGCAGCATGAGCAGGAAGCCCAGGCAGATGATGCAGGTGGCAGCCAGTCGCACCACACTGAAGATCACCTCATGTTTCAAAAGATCTACAGCTAGAGTGAGAGGGGAATAAATATGGGTGGGAACAAAAGAGGGAGCCAGAGAGCAGGATGGGGATAGAGAGTGTGAAGGATGAGAGAGAAACACAATCAAATCGAGATTAATTACATAAAGTAAGATAAACCACAGGACAGTGCGGCTGTAGGGGGATTAGTGTAACAAATGCATCTTATAATCAGCACAAGCAATCCCCTTTATCCTCTGTGTCTTTGCGGTCTGGAGCCCTGGGACAGGTTCCCTTAACCCACTGACCTTCATACAGACCGTTAAGGAAAAGAACTCGTCTGCAGGCATTTGTGTTGCCTTGGGAATCTGATCCTCCCTTAGCAAGAGGATGGTTGCAGGATCTGTTGAGGCACACTGATGATTGGGTTTCCGGGACAAAAGATGTAGACTTGCTGTGTAATCTGTTTGCTACAGTGGCCCTAAATGCTGACCTCTCAATACAGCGCCACAGTATGTGTGGCGGTTTACTCCATTTTTTACAATCATATTATTTTACATCGAAATGATCAGTGAATGGCAGATAATAGAAACCTTACCTGCATTTCCCGGCACACTGAGCAGTGTCCCTATAGAGATCAGAATGGGGTAAGTCAGTACCACACCAACATGGACCAGGATGTTGAACACTGCAAAAGAAACAGACGACATTTAAGTCTGTGAAGGTTCTCAGTCATCCAGGTCATCGTTGTCTAAGGAGCTTGGAAAGAAAAGCGTCTGGACTTCTTTAAGTTGCTTGAAGACGTTTCACCTCTCATCCGAGGCTTCTTCAGTTCTAAGAGTCAAATGGTGGGCATAAATCTGGGACTGTCTACCACTGACTCTAAGAACTGAAGAAGCTTCTCGGATGAGAGGTGAAACGTCTCATCTGGGAACCCATTAGCTTATTTATCTGACCTAGCCACTTGGGATGGCGGCCAATATTTTGTAGCTTATGGTCTTGCCAGGTTATCTGGAAAGTGGATAATGGAACACTTTCTTCCACTCACCATTATTTATGAATACACATATATTTCAAAAAGCTAATAAACAGCCAAATTGTTGTCAGTCAATAGCTAACGTTCCATTACTGGGGCTAAAAGCAGACAACAAACGGAAAGTGGAAACTTTCCGATACTTAAAATAATGCCTTTTGCCTACAGATCCTGTATTCAGACAATATAAACATCATATCCACCGAGTGACTGATGGTAACTATAAGAAATGAATCCCTATAGTTATACTAAAAGCTTTAAAATGGTCCAAAATGGTTTGTACATGTGGATGATACCATCCGGTGTATATGCACTCTCACCCAGCCACAGTCCTGCCAGTCCACACATGTATCCCCACGGCAGTGAGGAGAGTGAGCCCCAGTGCTCTACCCTGGTGAAATACAGGATGAGGGGCACACAGGAGATGAAGATGAGGTTGAAAAAGCCCATGGTGGAAAGAAAATGAGCCACTTCTCCAAGGTTGGCGCTGCCCAGGAACATCTTGAACAGCACCTGGATGGTGAGAAAACAAAGAGTTGACACGATGCAATCAAAAATCAAGCGTAGCTCAGACTGGAACAGGCTTATGAGGAAGTCTGACCTTATAAAGAGCTGAAGTTGAGGCTGAGCCCACAGCCAATGCCACACCCACAAAGGAATCACCATGGAAACCGTCAGCATAAGCCATCATGACAATACCTGTGATGGCCATTATGGCAGCCACAATCTGCACATAGACACATAGATGACACATTTTGAAGTAGTAAAAGCTTGAGTGAAACAGGTAATAAACAATCTCCTTCTTGTTTTCATACAGACCCGAACACCCATGAACCGGTCCTTGAGGACAATCCATGAGAGGAGAAAAACAAAAGCTTTGTGGCAACAGTAGAGGGCAGAGACATCAGTGGCGGTCAGTTTCTTCAAGGCTAAGAGGTACAGGTAGTTGGTCAGTGTCCACAGGATTGAGAAGGGTGCTGTCCTCTTTACAAAAAGCTTGAGAGTCATTCCATCCTCCCCAAAGAGCTTGCTGCACTCCCTGTTAGAGAAAAACACCAGTAAAGTCTTCTGAATGGAAATGCGTCATTGTTTGGAAGACTGTGTTTAGAGAATGGACATGATGGTTGTTTGGCTCTCACAGGCTTGAGGGTGGTTTAATACGCCAGAGGTAAAATGATAATAGATCGGAACCTTCTCAGATATCACACTTGGCTTCTTAAAACTTCTTAAATGAGGTTTACCTGAATTTCTGGATGGGGGTCTGCTTCTCCCGTGTGGTGACGACATGTCCCGAGTAGTAGATGGGGAAGATGAGGATGTTCCAGTTGCTGCTGAACCAGGAGATGAAGAAGGGACAGGAGAATGACTGGAAGGTCAGCTTCACCACCTGAGTGGTACCCACCCAGGAGGAGGAAACACACAGCACCATCAGCAAACCACCCAGCACCTTCAGAGCCGTGTTGGCGCACGTATGGAAGGACTGGCTCTCCACACTGGTCTCACTTCCTGGTGTCTCTGCGTGAGATTCCGAGCCATCCTCTCCTGATGAGAGTCAAGAAGGGGGGAGAAAAATTAAAGGAAATCCACAGCTAGCATCAGATTTCATCTGAATAATTTTGATTAGTATAATGTCACAGAGTTTAAACTTAACAACTTTTGTATTTTTTTTCGCACCACTATATATAGACTTCAGTGCTGCCTGCATTGTGGCTTCCTGACTGGGTTCCAGCACATGAGCTTCATCGATCAGTCGTCCTTAGTGATCACTGCCTCAGTTTGCCTTTCTTGCTGTGGTGGCACAATTGAGGTTCCGTTTAAAATGCATCGGGTTAACATGGTGCACGCTGCACATGCCATAAATAGCTTTGTTGCCTCATGATGCAGCATGTACTGTACTCCCTTTGCAGCCAGATGTGCACAGAAACCGGATGCCCAGAGAGCAAAAGTAAACCTAACCACATGACAGTCAACATGAAAGTCAGGCCAACCTTGGTGTTCATGGGACACTGTTCATGTATCGCTGCTATGAAAAGGAATTAACTGGAACTTTACTGGAACATCCAAATTGCAAAGGTTAAATGATACGTATGTCCCAGTGCCTTTATGGACGATCAGAGAAAGCAAAGTGGGATGTGTGTGAGCTCAGATCCGTTCTTTACCTCTCAACAGTGTGATCAATTTACACCAAGGCAGGAATAAAAGATGACATGTGCTGGCTGTTTGCTAGCTCAGCACCTAAAGCTCTGCCATTTCCGCCACAGACACCAGAGCCCTGCAAACACACTAGAACTTGTAGCAGTAGTAGCTCTCCTCTACACATCTGAGGGGTGCTCATTATTGCATGCGATAGTCTTCTGTTTGTTATCTGCAAAAAGACCTCAGCAGGATGTTAAGCAATGGGAGCACACGTCAGTGACGTGTACTGGAAATGCATTGTACCAACAAGTGCAGTAAATAATAATTTCTTACATCAAAAGAAGCTGTAACACAGTGTGTGGAGTGCAAACTCTTTGATCAAACAGCCATTTTATTAGTAGGACAGCTGGTAGAAGTTTAGTTTTTGTAAAGTTCCTTATGTGATCAGATGCCAGTATGTGTTTTAAAATCCATTCCTTCTTTTTACAGGATGCAAACAGAGGAAAACGTCACCAAACTTTGAAAGTAAGTTGATGAGTAACTTCATAAAACAATCAAAAGTCTTGCCAAACGTAGTATATATCCTTTATAAGTGCATGAGATCATCACCGGCACTCAGTGGCTGAAAAACTGCCCAAGAGATTATAAAATTGCAGGTTGGAAACAGTCATTACTGGCAGCCGTCTTCAATCAGTTCAAGGATAGAAGTAAAAAATAAGAACATAAAAATGCTCCTTTGCAATTAAAAGTCCTGCATTTAAGATCGTATCAGTGTATTATCCTCTAAATGTACTTAGCATCACATGGAAGAAGGCACTCTGAAGAAAATTGGTTTCCTGAAACTGAGTATCAGTATCAACTTTTGCATTAGTGATACATCAGTGCATTTTAACTTAACTTTATATGCATTATACTTTGTGTAATTAAAGTCAGAATTAGGGAACAAATATTTTTTTGAGTGTAGTAGTTTCTAGGCAGGCTAGCTGTGCTTTAGGGCACAGGTAATGGGGAAGTTAACAAATATATATATATTTTTTTATAGTAATACAGTTTTATTTCAGTCTGGGCCTCAAACAATTATTTAGATGAAACCAAATGAGTATTTTAAAAGAAAAAAAGCATTCCTCATTATAGACAAATAAGTTGTTTTTCAACTGTAAAGCACCAGTGAGCTTTCTAGTTAATGTATTGGTGTAAAAAAAACAAACAAAAAAAACTGTGGAATGAGGCATATTATATATTATATTATTATATTGAGGCAATTTAGCATAAAATGGAAACACCCGAGTAAAGTAGCTCGAATAAAGCTCACGTAAATGTATTTTCCAACACTGCATTGCTGCAGCACTGACCGTCTGTCCACGGTGCAGAGTGGAAAATTTTTCAATGACCACTTACACTTTGAAGGCTTTTACGAGCCTTCAAAGTGCAAAAGAAAGATATTATTTAGCACCCAACAATTCAAAAGTACTAATGAGTTCAACTTGTACACCCCCACCACAAAAAGCGCTCACGGGAGAACCCCACTTAAACTGTTTCTATTCAGGGGATGTGTTAAAGGCAAAAAGCTCACCATCGATACGGTTTCTGCAGGATCATCAAGGGATTTCATTTAATTGCATTCTGTCACAGCAAGGGTTCTTAATCAAACTAATGAACCTGGTGGTTGCTAAGTGGAAAAAACTGAGATCTGATATTTCTGCAATAGAGAAGCAGCTCTTTTATTTTTTTTTTATTTTTTTTTTATTTTTTTACTTTAGGTCTGTTTTTCTTCATCCACACAGCAGGATGGTTTGTGTTTCACAGCACCGACAAAACCTAAAGCTTTTAGTGTCAGATGCAAGCTTTTCTGTCCTGAGGTAAAAGCCACAACAGGCTCATCTGCTGCCAAGACGCAGTAATATTATAACTCTACTATTCCCCTGTCTCATAAAAGTTGCTCCCATTGCCAAAATTGTATTCTCATAGCAGACAGTATTATTGCTGACAAATATTGGTGGTAAAATTTTGCAAAGGATACAATAATCTCTGCTAAACACAGGCTGACAACACAGTACTGCAGGAGTGAAGGTAAATTCAGTCGAACTCAGGGCAAGTTTTATGAAAAGCTAAAATTTAAGGTTAGTAGTGTTAAGGTATCTGTATGTCCATGATGAATAATTAGTTACTTAGCGCTGGGGTGGTTTTTTTGGGTTTTTTTTTAAGTGAGTGATGATCAGTTTTGGTGCTTTGGATAAAGGTAGGATTGGTAAAATGTGATTGGATAAAAGAATGAATACATGCACAAAGATTAAAATCTACAAGTCAGGATAAAATGAACAGTGTGTTAAATGTAACCCAAGAAAAGCTAATTTCATCCACTGCAGTGATACTCGGGATAAAAAAGTGTAATATTTTGAGGGTTTTTTTTATAGTTTTCTAGGTTAAATGCACAGTAGCTTATATCAGTTCAGACATGGAGTCAGAGTATTGGGAAGTGCTAGAACACTTCATTGCAGAAAACCCAGTGCTGCATAGCATCAGTCACCACCGGCACCCATTTATCCATTCATCGTGATGCAGTATCCTTCTCGAACCTCACTTTTTAATCCATTTTCTCCTTTATCGCCACCACTAATGTTGCACAGCAGTGATTGATGGAGGCCCGTTGAATCCAATAAGAGGCTCATAGTCTTGTCTGCAGTTTTTAGCCAGCTTAGCACAGGTCAAAACGCATTAAGTCTTCATCCAAATTAGGCCTGAAGATGAGACATGGATATCATGATGCTGATGAAAAGTTGATTAGTGGCATCACAGTAATCTCTGTTAACAGAGTTAAAGGTGGGGGGCTAAAATGTTTAATCAGATGAGGGGGAACAACAACAGGCCCGCTACCGTGCTTTACACACTCCATTACCATTACACTGCTACCAGGAGGCTGAAATAATAGAAAATATTTGTTTTACAGTATTGAAATTCAAGCAGTTTTTAGATCCAAAGGCTGCTCTCATGTAAATGGAGCAGGATATAATTTGGAAACATCCATATTTATTAAAATCTCAATATTTCCTATGAAGACTTATACACTCTACATGGCACTTTGGTGTATTTGATGCCTTGTAGGAAACAAAATGTCACTCGTGACCCTGAAAATAAAAGTTAAGCACTTTGTCTTATCTTATTTTTCTATTTACACACACAATGCATACAGTATACTCCAATACAGTATAAATGGCATCTTGTGTCCCTTTGGAGCTTTCAGTTTACCTTCAGAGTTAGGGCAGGTCAGGACCTGAGTGCTGTATGAGCTGAGTGGAGCCACTCGGGCTGAGTGCTTCTTCATCCTCCACTGGGGGCACCACACACTGTCCTCCCCTGGAAGTAGTGTGTATGTGAGTTTAGAAGTGTTGCTTGGCTGCTGCTGCAAGCTCAGCAGCTCCTTCAGCTCGCTCCGTGCATCCTCAGACTCCCGACTCCTCCGCTTTTTCTTCACACTCTTGACTGCCTCCTCCTCCTCTTCCTCTGTCAAATCTTTAGTCTCCTTCCAGGACTCAAGTCCTGACTCTCTGTTCCTCTCTAGCCCAGCACGTCTGTATAGTGCCACAGCTCAGTGGTGATAGCGAAGTGGAAGTGTAGCGAAGTGGAGACCCTACAGTTGCTCTATCATGCCGTGATCCAGCTCTGCCAGTGTCTCCAAGGGAGACTGAGCTTCAAGTGTGTGTGGCATGGTGCAATCACTCCCCTCATCTCTTTCTATCCTCCCCCTCCTCTTTTCGTGTCTGTCTCACTCACTTTTCCCTCCTCTTCCTTTGCTCCGCAAATCAGCAGCTTTGTTTGGAAGGTAACCAAGCAGCTCAGGCAAATTTATGCTGTGCTAGCTGTGCCCCCTCTTTTCCTCCTCCCCTCTCTTTTCTACCTGACAAGGCTCTCCTTACTTTTTCCATCTCTCTCTCTCTTTAATCTCCCTCCCTGTACAAACTCTTGCCCTCTGTCTTGCAATGCCTCTCTCTTTCCTCGGCACCTCTCCTGCTCTTGACTACCCCTTGAGAGTCAGATTATTAGTAGAGCTCTCTCCGTCTTGTTGCCTCAAACCGTGACACATTAGTCAATTGAACGACGATACGAAAAAGGCAAAAACCATGTGCATACTACAAAAGAATACATGACAATCCCAGACATTTAAATCCTGTTGTGCACAGAGGTCATCTTAGTTCTCTCAGAGGGAAAATAGGCCTTTTTACCCACGTAATCCACACTCCACTACTATATGTTTGCATGTTATTATTGCACGGTACTCATGCGTTATTTCCATATTCTACAATCTGAATCTGAGTTATTTAAAGCAGAATACATTACGAGTTAGTAAAACAATCACTTACAGTGTTCTGTATCTGTTTACTTAAATGATGAATCACACTGGTTATCTGTTGCTGACTTGGATGGAAGTCAAGAGCTCCCCTGTTATTCTTAGAATTTCATGCACCTAAGAAATCAGGTTAAGCAAAGCAGAGGTACTTCCCCTCTGTGTCGTTCCATTGTACCAAATTCACTTGAAGGCAGAAGATAAGAAAAGACTCTACATAACACATAGATCACCAAGATACGGTGGGCCGGAGAGGTCAAACGCATTACAACGTAAGAAAAGGCCAGCAAGTACAGAAACTCTACAAAAACACACAAAACAAGTTGAAGAAAACAAAGGAGAAATAGGAAAAAAAATGTACGAATCACAACAGAAGTGTGTTTTGTGTATTATATGAATCACATTTTTCTCCCTTACAACACAGATGAATCCACAGCGTCTTTTAAGTGCGTCTCAGTGCGATCCTTTCCGTGTTTTGGTTTCTGTCACTTCAAAAGCTTCTCGGTTTGTATTATGTTTGACCTCTCCGGGCCACCTTACCAAGAAAATGAAAACACTTTCCTACAAGTCAGTCCTAATTTTAAAAATTCAACAAATGTCCATTTATGATAAATCGCTGTAGTGTGGTTCCATAATCACTGTAAGCACTTTTGATAAGAATTTCTTTATTTATGCAGAAATTTCTGTGCAGGATGTTAGCTGTTTATTTATTTATTATATGCTGGTACTTTAACGGAGGATTTTAATATTTTATCCGTCACTGCTGCACAGTCAAGGGAAACCCTCATCAGCAGCTATGTTGATGATCGGAATAGAGTTTGTGAGTCAGGCTCAGGATTATAGTTGGTCAGAAGTTTCCATTTCAAGGAAAGCTATGCAGTTATTCAATCTGATGCTGTGGTTTATCTACCTGAAGATTTAATGGACCTAAATATTACTCTGGCCTCTACATCAACAACATATCAGTGCCAAAGTATATGCGGTCAGACACATGAGGTGATGCAGCCAGTAATAAATATTACTATGAAATCTTACAGTAAAATCTGAATTGGAGAAGCAAGACCAGGAGCAATGTGACCTGAGAAACAGGAAACAGGGGAACCACTCAGTACAGTAACTGCAATGTGATTTTTGCCTAAGTTGGCTGGCTGTGAATACTGAAAGCTATTTGCAGCATGTCTGCTCCAGGATTTCTGTTAACGTCTGCCTCCCGTTTCAAATGCTGATCAGCCAAAGATCTGGCAAAGCTACAAAGGGCATAACAGATCAGAGTATTTGTTGTGCATTCTTCAGGCTGCGAGAGAATAGAAAACAGCACAGTTATTGTTTGGCTGTTTCTTGCAAGTGACAAAAAGACACTGAAAATTTGGGGCCACGTTCCAGTAACATTATGGTAATTCATCTGTTAGAGTTCAACACTTTGAAAAAAGCACTTCTCTACTGTCATTTTTAGGATGACGTTGTGATGCAGGCACATTTATTCCCTGGGGTCACCCAATTACAGAATGAGTGTAACAAGAATACTAATGACCAGAATCAGCATTGTTTTAAAATGTTTGCACATTTAATGTGTGACAAGCAGGACTGAATACGTAATCCAGGGACAAGCTGGAGGGTTAAATGTAAAAATAGACCTGCTGATGAGAGGAGCCAACACCTAGACACTGAGGGGACAGAAGAACGACCCAGTCAGCAAATCCTGGGATTCGAATCAGTATCGGATTAAGAGAAATACCTGGAGAGCGGTCACTATAGGAGGCCACAGTTCAATCTCAAATATTGGACTAACAACTCTAAGTTTTAAGAAGATTATTGCTTTCTCTATCCTGCGTTACTATACTGTTCGGCCTACATCTAACTTTGGATGCTTTCTTTTTTGTTACATCTGTAACTGCTGAGAGGAAAGTTACTGATCATTTATTCCCATCAGACCTTTACAACCCATCTGCATTTTATTCTACAATTCAAGCAAACCATACATGAACTTCAATCATTAGATAACTCTCTAACTAAGAAAGAAAGACAGAAAAAATTCTAATAATAATCCCTTTTTAGAGTAGCTAATAAAATGGAAAGTGTGTCTATATAACAAAATGGTCTGCAAGCATAACTGATCAAAGCACAGTATACCACAGCATCCTCCCTCTTTACCTCCATAGCAACACAGAGTCTCCTGTGCACACTGACGCACTCGACCCATTCAAGCTCTTTTGTCATTCAGATTAACTAATGCTCGACAGTTTGCAGTAGACGGGTCTTTGTCTTTAGCACCTCTCTGTTACTCATCACATCTCAACAAGGTCCGGGAGCAAAGACGACGAGCACAGGGTGCTAATTTTAGCTGAAAAGCCTTTGAACAAATTTCAGGTGTGTATCCAGACACGGTACCTCAACAACTCAACCCAAGGTACTGAGAACATTTGAAGATGAGGACATCTAGTGGTAAATATGATTGGCTGCATTACAGGTGGGACAGGAACACGGGGGAAAAAAAACTCTTAAAGATACAATTTTCTCCAAGCTTTAAAGGGTTGAGTCACTCACATTTCTGCACTACACAGTCAAAGTTATGGTGATTTTTTCAATTAAAACAATAACAAAGTACATTTTAAAATATCAACATCAGTGTGTGTTAAACTAGGCCCAGTTAGCATTCACAATTAATAGGATTTGTCCTTCTGAGCCAACTGAACAAAGTGGTAAAACATGGTAAATGGCCTGTATTTGTATAGCGCTTTGCTTAGTCCCTATGGACCCCAAAGCGTCAAAGCAAGGATATGGCTATTACTGTGAGTTTAGGAAGCTAACTTCAGTGGGTTCAGTCTGTTACTGTGGGAACTATTTATTTTTTGTTTACACAGACCTACACTCAAAGGGTGTTGTTTTGTTCGTTTTTTGTTGTTGTTGTTGTTGTTTTTTTGCTTTGTTTTATTATATTTTGTTGTTTTTATTTCATCATGTAGACATTAAAAATCTACACGAGTGTTAATGTTCTTCTATGTTAAGCAAATTGAGCTTGTTTGTAAATAAATGTGTCACCACCTTGGTCATTATTTCTGGGGTTTGTTTTGTTGGCCCAGTTCACAAACAAATAATCCCATTGACTTTCTAAAAATGCTGGAAACATTTTTACAAAGATTTATTGATGTGATTAGATTTACAGACCACAAGAGGGCAATGTTTGGCTGCAGCTCATACCTCAGTATAGCAGCAATGCAGGCACACACATACTCTCTTCCCATATTATGTAATGTTACTTTGCATGACAGCAGTTGGCTGTAATGTATATGCTCCTTTATTTCTTACAGATCGCTCAAAGGGATTTTACACTACAGCCATTAACCCGCTCACACAGTGACAGACGCATCCAGAGCAGCTGGGGTTCAAGTGTCTTTGTGGGCAATAATCTCTGCAATAGCCCCAAGATACTTGCAAAACAAAGTTCCTAACCATAAATTGCTGAGGTGAGCTAAAAAAAAAAACTTTCTTTTTTTTCAATTTTATCACCTGACATGGGCTGCAATACTACAACACCAAGTGTACAGTCGCACAAGAATAGGTCAGCACTTCTGTAACTCTCATGGAGAAATATTGCACTCATTACTCCCAGGTTAGTTCTGTGCTTTCGCAGGAGCATTGAGGACTAACAGCACTCCAGGAGTCATTCAGGCAAAGCTCATATCCCATTCGTTGGCCTGGATATAAATAGCACAGAGTGAGCAGGCATGGGAACGGGACGGTCCAAAATAAGTATGTGCACATACAGAATGTTTGAGGAAGAAAAGGGATATTCATCTAGTGTGAACACTGTCTGATTTTAAAACACACACACACACACTCACAGGCATGTATAGATTTACAATCATCATCTCTCTTCTTTCCTTATGTTTCTAGACTTTGTGGACAGAAGTAGACATAAAAGCACACTGCTTTGTGATAAATGGTTGCCTTTCCTGCCCTTCCTCTATATAATTTCCTTCTGAGTGCTCAGGTGTGCCCCTGCTTTACTGTGTCGCCTGCAGTGAAAAGGATATAGGTCCAGTACTGAGTGGGACTTCATCTACAAGTACCTGCAATTTCTCTTGCACCGTACCTATTTACCCAGCGGGGAGCGCACACGCACTACACACTTTTTTCTAAATTACCACCTCAAAAAAGACACCCAGCAAATTACAGCAATGTTTTCCAGGAGGTGCTGAGGAAGCATTTGCCTCACACACCATTGTTCTGTTAGAATTTACTTTCCTTTTATTTTCTCATTAAAAAAATCGATTCTGTTACAGCTTCTCACTGGAGCAAGCGTTCATAGCTGTGCAAC